CGCCTGCATAGCCTGTCGTTTCAATAGATAGGCTTCATCAGGTTAATAGAATTTTGATTGATTGATTGATTGATTGACCACAGGCCTGGCAGACTGTATAGGAGATGATTTGCTGACCCAGGTTTTGTAATCATCTCGCACTCAACCACAGTGTGAAGTTGAACGGTTTAGATTATCGATCGTCGCTGTCTGTTTCCTTGTGCCTCATCTGCCGCGTTGGTAGACCGAATAGCATTCCGTGTCTGTTCACACGTCGTCGTTGACGATCAGTATGTGAACAGAGTATAAAGCAGAAGTAGTCGTCGACGACCAAAGAGTCTCTCTCTCATCCATTCCGCCAGGCTTCGCTTTGTTCCTTAATACCTTTAATCCTCATTCTTTCGTTCGACCTACCACTTCGTTCCTTTTACTTCCTACGATGTCTCTCCGTCAGATCATAGTGCTGGCCACTTGTATCGCCGCTGGGCCCAACTTCAATGAGATGGCCCAGGCGGCCGGAAAGTTGTGGTTCGGTTGTTCCATTGATACCGGAGCTAACGCCTACCAGGACGAGACCTACATGAACATTTTCAACCAGGGCAGCATCTTCGGTCAGACCACCCCCGGGAATACCATGAAATGGCAGTTCACGGAGCCCGAGAATGGTCAGTTCGACTTCAGGGAAGGCCAGAAGACCATCGATCTGGCCCAGAAGTCGGACAAGAATGTCCGCTGCCACAATCTGGTCTGGACTGAGCAACTGCCGGACTGGGTCTCTGGCGGCAATTGGACCAAGGACACTCTGTTAAAGGCGATGAAGACCCATATCATGAAGGAAATAAACAATTACGGGAGCGATTGCTACTCGTGGGACGTTGTCAACAAGGCTGTCAACTATGACGGTAGCTACACCGACAACAGTAAGCCTGTCCTGGTCAAGTAGAATCCTACACTATTGCAACCCGACTAACTCCCTCGCAGTCTTCCTGCAGACTATCGGTGAAGACTACGTCCCCTACGCCTTCCAGTACGCCCACGAGGCCGTGCAAGCCTCCGGTGCCGACATCAAGCTCTTCTACAATGACTACCAGCTGTCCATGCCGGGCGACAAGGTCAACACGGTCGTGAAGAAGCTCATCCCCGCCATCCAGTCTGCCGGCGACTACATTGATGGCATCGGACTGGAATCTCACCACACGACCTCCTATTACCCGACCGCCGACCAGCTGAAGTCCGTGATGTCGCCTGCACCGACACCCCGTGCTCGGACGAGGCCAAGGCCGACCAGGCCCAGGCCTTCTATAACACCGTCTCGACCTGCGTGAACACTGAGGCCTGCAAGGGCATCACTCTTTGGGACTTCAACGACAAGTACAACTGGATCCAACCTGACACTAACGACGGATCTGGCGAGGCTTGCATGTACGCCAAGAATACACTGCTAAGCCTGCGGCCACTGCGGTGGAGGAGGCCCTCAAGGGCAAGGAATGCTCGGTCTGCTAAGGTTCAATCGCTATCGTCTGCCCAATTTCTCGTGCAAGACCTGGTTGGGTGTCATTGGGCACCAAATTCGGGCTTTTGTCGGCGTACAGATCTACTTCACTTCTTCGGACTACTTAGCAACTATTCCTTTGTACATCTCAATTGATTTTTACTACTATAAGAACCCAAGCTCCTTCATTTAGCACAAGCTATGGCCTAATGCGTATCAAATCATGTCCAACCGCAACCTGGGCTGCTTACCACTACCATGTATACGCTACATGCCCCTCACATACGCTTTGGGTTCTGAGGAAATTGTCGGACCATGCTAGTTTGGAGACGGACCTCTCGAGGCGACCCTCGTCGTTTTCAGAACCTATGAGAGCTTTTTTCGTATGCTCCCGTGATTGAAGGAAATTGAAGTCCGCCTGCAATCCCATGCAGGAGGGCAGTGAGTGTCATTTTGTGTCTGGATCTGGAAAATCTCCGTAAGTCCCAGCAGTCCTTGCTCATGGACATGGCATTTCTACTCTCACGGGGCCAGGCAAGTCGGTGGCCCACCGGAGAAACATGAGGTATGAACAACGCCACAGTGCTACTGCGGGGTCTTCGACGCATGGAGATAGAATGATGCATTCTAAAGCAGGATTGATTGGAGTAAGTACTCCTTTTTAGAAACGCCAGAGCATCATTATGCTGTCTGGTCAACTCATGGTATATAAGGGAACACTACCATTTGCAATCTCCAGTGATCCCATCACATCAGTATCCTGTGTCAGTCCTTCAAGTTCAACTACAGCATCACCATGCGTCTCTTCGTTCCCCTTGTCTCATTCCTGGGAGCCGTCGGTGCGCTGCCAACCCCCAATGCCCCGTCGAACGACACCCTAGTGCAAACCACTCTCCCGACCAGCTTCCGGTGGACTTCCAGCGCCCCCCTGATCGCGCCCAAGAGTGACAGCTACAATATTGCTGGCTTAAAGGACCCGTCGATTGTCAGCTACGGCGGCAAATACCACGTGTTCGCCAGCACCGCGAAGGCATCGGGGTATAACCTGGTCTACCTCAGTTTCTCCGAATTCAGCCAAGCGGCATCAGCTACCTTCCACTACCTCGACCAGACCCCAATTGGCACGGGCTATCGCGCCGCACCGCAGGTCTTCTACTTTGCGCCGCAGGGACTGTGGTATCTCGTCTATCAGAACGGAAATGCCGCCTACTCGACAAACCCCGACATCAACAACCCGGCGGGATGGAGCGCCCCCAAGACCTTTTTCAGCAGCATGCCCAGCATCATCGTGCAGAATATCGGCAACGGATACTGGGTCGATATGTGGGTCATCTGCGACGCCTCTACCTGCTACCTGTTCTCGTCCGACGACAACGGCCACCTCTACCGGTCCCAAACCCCCGTGTCCAGCTTCCCCAACGGCATGGGCAACACAGTCATTGCGCTGCAGGACTCGAATCGCTACGCCCTCTTCGAGGCCGCCAACGTCTACAGCACCGGCGATGGCAAGTACCTTCTCCTCGTCGAGGCCATCGGCAACGACGGCGCGCGGTACTTTCGCTCCTGGACCGCCTCCAGTCTGACCGGCACCTGGACGAGTCTCGCAGATACCGAGGCTAATCCATTCGCGCGGTCCAATAACGTGGACTTCAACAGGAATACCTGGACCAAGAGTATTAGTCATGGCGAGATGGTGCGCTCGCAGGTTGATCAGACTATGACCATTAGCCCCTGCAATCTCCGCTATCTGTACCAGGGGGTGGATCCGAGTGCCAGTGGCGACTATAACGCGCTGCCGTGGAAATTGGGCATCTTGACGCAGACCAATTCGGTGTGTTAGCGATTGAGATGGAGGACTGTAGCGTTCTGGCAGCTGGCTGGAGGCAGATCGACTAATCGCTGGCTTTTGTTGACACAAGAAGCCTCGACAACGTAGCTTTACATTATCCATTCCCTCCCTTCTCAGTCCACTGTATTATGTCCAATAACAGTTACCTTGAGCACTCCGTACTTACGCTTGTGAGTAAGAATAGTCACCCCAATCATTAATCCACGCTCAGTTCCAAGCCCGGGAGGGCATCGGCGGTTTGCCTCGGTCTGGCCACGGAAATACGATTCCCCTAGGACTAGCATACTGAGTAGCGCTAGAGTCCTGGAGCTAGTGAGGATTCCTTGTTCGAGGCGGGCCATTCCGTCTTCTCTGAGCAAGGAAGAACGAACGTACTTCGTAAGAGAAACAGAAGCAGTGGGGTGGATCAAACACTAGAAGGGATTGACACCAGGCTTTAGGTGGGCTCAGTCGATAAGCCTATCGGTCTATACTCCTCTTTTTGTCTTGCACTTTTCCAGCCCGTGCCTGCTTAGGCAAATGGGTCTGTGTGGGCTATCCTTTCTGGGCAGTAAGCTAATCGGTTGCTGATTCAGTGATTAGTGATTTGGCCCCGGTGACGTTATTTAAGCCCGTGTGCGCGGTTCTATTCGCGATTCAGGATCTCTAGACCCTGGGAGGCCCACTTGGAGCAGCCCTAAAATAGTCTCCCCACCGCAGTTTCACGTCCTTCGGCTAACTTCTGCCTAAATGCATATCTGGATGTTCTAGGCTTTTTCTTGCAGGATCAGGGTGTCCATGAGCCGAGCCTGCCATGGCGCCTTGTAGTGTGAGCCACATGTGCTGGGATGCCACGATATTTTGCAAACCGCATGTTCGATCATCAAACAGTAAAAGCAAATCCGCCCTGCCGAATGATTCTTCACGTTGAGCTCTGGCTACTGAGCTTCTTGTAAGCTTCAAGATGCGTCAACGCCGGTGCTGAGAATGGCAGCAATAGGTCCTTGGCCAGAAATAAGGACTAGTGAGGTGCAGCCCCTGTCACTAACAAGACCGGCTCTCTTTGTCGTTCCCTAGAATTCCTAAGGAGTACTGCGTGTCTAATTTTGGAGGCGCTCCAAGTCGCCGTCGAGCCTGAATGAAATGAGAGTCAAACATTCTGTTTCATCTAGCTAGGTGATTCCAGGAACTGCTAAAATGGCCATGTTCAGTACCTTTATATACTTCGTTGTTCCTCAATGTTCTTGCGTCCTCCATCCATCCTTCCTTTTTTTTTTTTTCCTCTCTTCTTCCTCGGGGCATCTGCTCATTCTTTCGTTCTTCAAACCGACAGGCTCGACGTTCATTCCCTATCTCCAAAATGAAGCTCACTTCATCCGCTCTTTTCTTGCTGGCCAACGCCCTCCCGCTGGTTTCGGGCCACTACGTCTTCTCTACGCTTATCGTCGACAGTGAATCCACCCAGGAATACGAGTATATCCGCAAGAACAGCAACGGATACCAGCCCACCCTGGCCTCCGACATCCTGAGCAATGACTTCCGCTGCAATTCCGGCTCTATGGCCTCCGCCGCCAGCACCAAGACCTACCAAGTTGCGCCCGGGGCCGAGATTGGCTTCAAGCTCGGCTTCGGTGCCACCATGAAACACCCCGGCCCTCTGCAGATCTACATGTCCAAGGCCCCAGGCGACGTGACCAAGTACGACGGCTCCGGCGACTGGTTCAAGGTCTACCAGGAGGGCGTCTGCAGCGATATTTCGGGCGGCCTCAAGGACGAGGACTGGTGCACCTGGGACAAGGACACCGCGTCCTTCACCCTTCCCAAGGATATCCCGGCCGGGCAGTACCTGGTGCGCGTCGAGCACATCGGCCTACATCGCGGGTTCAGCGGCAACGCCGAGTTCTACTTCACCTGCGCCCAGATCGAAGTCACCGGCTCAGGTGCCGGCTCGCCCAGCCCGGTGGTCAAGATCCCCGGCGTGTACAAGCCCGACGACGCGAACATCCATTTCAACATCTACAACCCCGTACCGACGTCGTACGATCTTCCCGGCCCTGCCATCTGGTCTGGCGGTGGTGACTCCTCTGCCGCCCCGGTTGTCTCTGCTCCCGATTCCAACAACGCCGTCGCCGCTACTTCTGTTGTTCCGACTACCCTGGCGACCGTTTCCAAGGCTCCGACGGCGGTTCCTGCGCCTTCATCGAACAATACGATCAAGAAATACTACCAGTGTGGCGGTCAAGGATGGACAGGCTCTGGCTCCTGCGAAGCTGGCACTACCTGCCGGGCGTGGAACCCCTGGTACTCCCAGTGTGTGTAGGTCCTGTGGCAGGGATTTTGTTGTTGATTGGGGTGCTGTCAAGATTTCATTCTTCCCTTCTTTCACATAATATTTGACCTGAGAGTTTTCAGAGAACGTTGCAGGACACTGTTGATCCTGGGTAAAGATATATATTTAGAATTCAAAAGCACGGACGGCCTTTTGCACTATTTCAATTACACCTCCCTAGCAGTAACTAGTATAACAGCCCTCACGTAAAGTGTAACTAGGGAACAAATTACAAATTCCGTAACAGTCAACCCTAGTTATCAAATACCTGTAGAACTAGTTAACGTAATCTACGGGCGAGGGGAACACACGGGTGAGGGGAACGTTTTCTCCGCAACCTCCGAAAATCCTCAACTGATCACTTTCAACACGCCATTCTTTTTATTATTATTACACAAAAATGCCTCCTTCTCAAGAAGCCCGAATTCAATTGGCTATTGACGCGTATAAAAATAAAAAATCCAATCAAAATCAAAGGCTGCTGCAATATTTGGGGTGCCTAAGACTACCTTTTGGAAGCCGCTTAATGGAATTCAATCACGATCAGAAACACGCGCCAATAACCATAAATTGACAGCTCTTGAAGAATAAGACCTTTCCAAGCACCTGCTAGATGCAGATAAACGTGGCTTTTCAATTCGACCGGAGTTTCTGCGTGGAATGGCGCAAATTTTACTTTACAGGCGCACACAAGATCCTACTGCAACTATAGGTGTCAACTGGGCATTTACTTTTATCAAACGCCATCCAGGACTGCGTACACGATATAATCGAAGAATAACATACCGGCGTGCAAAGCAGGAGGATCCAAAGGTTATAAGACCATGGTTTGCGACTGTACAAGAAGCGATTCAAGAACACGGCATACATGAGGATGATATCTGGAATTTTGATGAAACTGGCTTTGCAATGGGGCTCTATACAACATCTAAGGTTATAACTGCAATAGAGCGCAGTGAGAGACCTCGCAGAGTTATCCAAGGGAATCGTGAATGGGTTACAATCATTGAATGTGTGAGCTCTAAGGGAATTCATACCACCAATGGTTATCTTGAAAGGAAAAGAACACCAAGCTCCTCGGTATCAAGAGTCTAATATTCCTCAAGATTGGAAGCTCACCAATAGCGCTAATAGCTGGACAACAGATGAAATAGGCCTTCAGTGGCTGAAGCAAGTGTTTGATCCTTTTTCTAAATCACATTCAACTAGTGCGAAGCGGTTGCTCATTCTTGATGGCCATTCAAGTTACCAAACTGCAGATTTTGATGATTTCTGCAAAGAGAATGCAATTATCTGTCTTTGTATGCCTCCGCATACATCTCATCTTCTTCAGCCACTCGTTGTTGGTGTTTTTGGACCGCTTAAACGCGCATACGGAAAACTAGTTGAGGATGATGGTAGCTGGAAATTTCCATATTGACAAGGAGGATTTTCTACACCTATATCCTTCTGCACGTGAAACAGTCTTCACTCAAAAAAATATATGCAGTGACTTTGCAGGATCAGGTCTTAAACCACTTGATCAAGACCGAGTTCCTGAGAAAATCACCTTTCAACTTCGTACACCAACACCGCCACTACTTGTTGAAGGCTCAATATCATCTGCTTTTCAAACACCCCAGGATCCTCGTCAGATTGATCGCAAGGTTCAAAGCCTACAGAGAAGTCTTCAAAAGAAAAGAACGCTTTCTAGCAGTCCAGTCTCTCATTTTCAACACCTTGAAAAGGCCGCGCACATAGCCATGAATATGAATCTTCTTCTCCAAGAAAATAAGGTTCTACGGGCTGAAAATGAGCGAAAAATAAAGAAGAAAGCGAGAAAACGTGCTTCCCTAGTAATTGATCTCTTTATATCTGTACAGGAAGGTCGTGACCGTATTCAGCAGCTTGATCAGGTAGTTAATACGCAGGTTGAAGATACTGAACCTAGGCCTCGCAAGCGGGCTCCACAACGCTGCAGTGGTTGTAGGACTGTTGGGCATACAATACGGAGTTGCCCTAGTAAATAGCTATGTATTTCATCTTTTAAATAGTCTAATTTAATAGCATTGGTGGCTGAAATGTTTCAATACTCTTATGGCTGCGGAGAAAACGTTCCCCTCATCCGTGTGTTCCCCTCGCCCGTGGATTACGTTAACGGAGCATGCGTCTCCGGTCATCGCACCAAGATTTCTAAAGTTTTATCTGAAATCCCTCCTGCGAAGCATGCGCGGTCCACACCTAATGCCTGTCCATGTTCAACGTTCCACATCTTTACCAGTATGTTTCTTTCACTGTGTTGGCCATAATAGATGGATGGACGGAACTTTGTTAGGAATAAATGCCTCAGTTGGAGCTGCCCCAGACAGCATCACCAATAGGAGTATCCTGGATATAAGACTTGAACTCATCGGCAGTGTTCACCCACAGGTTGGCGCCGTTAAACAGCTTCATGTTGTCGTTGTAGAGGCCAGGGATCTTGTAAGTGTCGGTAGGCGAGCCGCTGCCGGAGCCGGTGACCTTGACTTGAGCGCAGCTGCAGAATACGGTCAGATCGTGCCTCTATAAGACGGCGCCATGATGCCAGTTTAACTCACCTGTAGAAGAATTCGGCCTCGTTCACATGAGACTGGTGGAGACCGACGTGCTCTGCGCGAACAAGGTATTCACCAGCCGGGGTATCCTCAGGGATCTGGAACTCGAGCTGCGAGTCGCCGTAGGTGCACCATGCGTCCTTGGTGAGGTCGCCGTTCTCGTTGCACAGCGTCTGTTCCCAGATCTTGAACCATTCGCCGTCGCCTTCGTACTCTTTGACGTTGCCGGAGGGGGCCTTGGACATGACTGAACGCGGAATAGTAAGTTAGAACATTGACTGCACGACAGGCGTATAGTCTGAGGAGACATACAAACTTGACCAGGGCCAGGATGGGCGATGCTGGCATCGTAAAATAGCTTCATGGCAATAGTATCACCGGCAGCAACTTCGGCGACCTCGGTCTTGGCGGCATTGGTGAAGGAGCCCAGGTTGCAGCGGAAGTCGTTGTCCTTGGGGGTCAAATTGTCGAAAGTGTTGGAGAACTTGGTGGGCATGTAGTTCTCCTGGCGAGTGGTCTGGCGGATGTACTGCCAGTCCTCGGAGGCCACACCGTTCAAGACCAGCTTGCTGAAAATGTAGTGGGCCGAGGCGGACTGGGCCAGGGCAGCGACAATCGCAACAAGAGCAGAATGCTTCATTTTGGTTGAAAGAATGGGTAGAATATAAAGAATTTAATAATGAAAGTGTACAGAAAGAGCGGAAAACGTCTACGCCAGGTAGAGCAAAAGTAAAACGAGAAAGAATGAACTTGAATGGTATTTAAAAAAGAGAAGCAACTTCACCTGCACATAGAAGACCCTTTTATAGGTCTGTCTGGCCCTTCAGGCCTTGGACCCTGGACTTTTCTGAGGTCTGCAGCTCTATCTATTTGATACACTCACCCTGAGTCTAGATCCCTTGCTCAATCCCTGCCTGCAAAAATAATCCTGAGCAAGTCATGCAACTCAGTTCATTCGACATTATTCAGTCTCTTATTTCTTGGCAAACCGCTCGGTTCAAACCGACCCTAAACCTGAATCAGATAAGAGCCGTCTCTGCCTTGTTTTGAGTTGAAACTAGGACAGGCCGGCAGACGTCAAAGCGGTTGAGATGCCGAGGTCAGGCTTCAACATCGCCAATTCCTTTCCAGTCCTCGAAACAGAGTAGCGAGCAGTCATTTCTATTACTAGAAATCCATTTTCTCTATAGGCGACTGAAGACGACAGATCAAAACCATTATGTTCCGCGGTGGTCCGAAGAGACATATTTCGGCATTACCTTTCTGCCCTTTTAATCCCCTTAATTATTTGGAGTAGAATGCAGATGACTCGTACACGGATGCACAATAAACCTTCAAAAGACTTCCATCTAAGCAACTGTCACGTATCGGCTGTGTATTCTCTTTCCATCATGGAGTAGGAGTCCAGGACTTATTTGATAGACCCCAGGGCGGAGTGGATCTCGCGAGTGGATGCTCGACAAACAAGTCCTAGACAGATTAGCAGCATATCCCACAGCCTATGACAAAGCGAGGTTTACTATTCCTGGGCCGTGGGTGGGGTTCCTTCGGTCAATAGCCTGTTACAAACCCCTGTCACCGTTCGGGGACCGGGAGACTGACTAGTAGGGGAAGATGGGTGGTTGGGCAATTGCCGTTTCGAGGATCGCGGTGAGCTTAGAGACTAGAAAAGTGGAAGGTCCTGCCGTACCTTGCAATTTGCTACCTGACAGCTTGCTAAGTATAGTATGTGCGCTAATTCAGGGCATCTTTGACCTGGATCCAGACTCCCCGTTCCCGACGAGCCCTAAAGAACGAACCCCCAATTTACCGAGGCCTGGAAATTGATGGGTGGGCCGAGGGACCTGCGTCGGCTTGGTGGTTTCACGTACTCCGTAGGACTGGAATGGTCGTGTTCTTGGGCATGTTCGCTTTCTTGTCGTCGTCTTGGCCTGCCATAATGATAGTCCCTCTGTTGGATAACGACAACGTGAGGAAGGTATCCCCAAGAGCACACATTGAAGGTGTCAGGAAGGAAGGATATGGCATGACTAGTACGCTTCTGCATGATAAGCATTGATACACGGTATGGAGTGCTGCTTTTCTAGAAAGCCTGCTGTGCGTCTAGCTGTCTACGGCTTCATATTCATATCTCCACCCCCCGCTCCCCCGAGAAGAAACCCCGACTTGCCGGGCTGGTTGATTGACGAATGCTGACGCTGTACTCGTCACCAAGATAGAACAATATCGCACTTCTCCTGGCCCTCGCGGCTTACGCATCCCTGGCCATCTCTCCTCTGGACTCTCTGGACTATACATGTCGCCAAGGAGCGGTCGAAGATGACCGAAGCAACGGCTCAAGGCGCTATCAGAATGTGGGTGCCTAAAGCGTATCTAACAAGTGTCCAGCCGTTAGAACCTGTGCGTCGACTATTTTCAGGATTCCACCATATGTGAGGAACGTCTTCGGAGTCAGGAGTAAGATCCTTATATCCGTAGAATCCCATACTGATGACATATGGTGGGTGAGCCGAGCATATTCATGGATCAAATCGTGGGAATATGGGTTGAGATATTCTATCACCACACACTAGGTAGACCTCGACTAAGATTGAAGACGCTCCAATATCCGGTAGATCTCCGAGGTTTAGAATCTAGATATTTGTGGGGTTGCCCGGCCAGACCACTCAGAATCCATTGATTACGACGACGACGAATGCAATCCAGCATTGGAGAAAGTCGTAACATGGCGGGGATGAAGAAACAGTTGCTGGGCTGCAAAGTGGCCTGGAGCGAGAAGACATAAATGGCTCGGCATGACTTTTCTACATCGTGGACAACCATTCTGATCAGCTCAGTTCGAACAACGCATTTATTCCAGCTTTCCCAGTCACCATGGTCCAGATCACACCTCTTGTCCTGGCCGGAATGGCTATTTTCGGCTCAGCTTTTGCCCGCCCCAGTCACGACATTAAGGCCGAAGCCGCTGAGCGAGCTGCGTTCATGAAGCGCACTCCAGTGGAAAAGCGAAGCCTGGGACACTGCGCCGACACCCTCAAGGCCCGTGGCCATACGAGCCGCAGCATTTAACGTCGCAACAATGCTGTCCAGAACATACGCCGCAGCCTGGGACTGTCCGGTATGCATCAGCGTCATCCTTCCGTATCTTGATTGAGACGAATAACCAACTCACTCAAACCGCATTTACCAGGCCCTTCTCTTAAATGGCGCTCGTTCGAGTCTGCGCTCAATACTTCCCATCACTCTAACATGGAGGGAATAACCCAATACCACAACCCCGAGGATCTGTTCAAGGCCGAATCCACCTGCGTCCTGGCTGACGACATTACTGAAGGCCCTTACTGTAAGACTGGCTCAATCCCTTCTTGCTGCTCAGCTCGTGCGCTTATAGATGGAAGATATGTCTGGCGAATACGTGCGCAGCAATATCGCCGAAGACTAGTAAGGCGTTCCTCTCTACCTGGACATCTAGATCATTGACTTTAACACCTGCGAGCCGGAGCCTCAGATATATATGGATATTTGGCATTGCAACGCCACTGCAAGCGCTGGTCTTTGTTCAAGTTGGCGCCCAGGATTAACACATGGGAATCGATAGGGTGTTTACTCCGGTCTCGAAGCTAGCACCAACGGCAACGACAGCGACGCCAACCTGGACACCACCTCCCTGCGTGGTATCCATAAGTCGGACGAGAACGGCGTGGTGACTTTTGAATCCATCTTCCCCGGTCACTATACCGGCCGTGCCACTCATATTCACGGTACTCCCGGCACCGCTATCTCCATTTACCCTAGCAAGGAGGCATAGCTAATGCGAATTTGCAGTCCTGACTTACAGCGCCAACGAAACCCGAGAGTTGGCCAACGGCACGATCTCCGGCCTATAATCTACTCACTCCTCCCACATCGGTCAATTGTTCTTCGACCAGGATCTCATCACGGACGTGGAGAACCTGTCTCCTTACACAGATAACACCCAAGAGCTAACCACCAACGCGAAGGATGACATCCTCGAGGGCGAGGCCGAAGACATCGATCTCTTTATGGAGTATGTCCTTCTCGGGGACGACGTCAGCGATGGTATCTTCGCCTGGATCTCCGTGGCCATCGATCCGACCTCCGACAGGGAGTTGAGCCCCGCTGCGTACTTCACTCACGATGGAGGTGTCGAGAATGAGAACAGTGATATGGGCGGTGGCCCTGGTGGCGCTAGCCATTCGGGTCCTCCCTCTGCCAGCGCTGCGCCCAGTTCTTAGGTCGCTACCAGATCCTGCTCGTTGAGGTAACACAGGCTTGGTCAGTTTGAGTGTTATCTGGTGTCGACAAGTTGGTACGTTTTACTTTGTGGTCGGGTTTTCCTCATAAGCCCATCCATCGCTCGTGAATATTCGGAAATTGGAAGCAAACTCGAGCATCATCCTGGAATGATATGTGAAAGGGAGGCCTTTCTGATCATTTTCACAAGTTATGACATTCTCTGTATACTAGCCCCTGTCAGGTCTATAACTTTTCTCCATTGGACATTTAAAGGATCCTAAAACAGCCTTAATCTGTGCAAGTATGCTACGTCTGGGCCGTAAGATACATGTTCTTGCTGGAAGATCAATCGCGGTTGGTATAATTAATCCTAGGTGGCCTTTGTGGTTTGGAATCACTGAATTGACTAGTAAGCATCAAAGTCTGTCACCCATCGATACTTCAGGAGAGCGTCTGTCGACTTTCGCTCATCCGGATCGAAAAAAAAATCATCATGCCCATGACCTCAATAAACGCCGACTGCTCTTCCTCACTCATTGCGTCAGGCTTCTCCTCACGTATAGCATTGGCCAGTGGCAGAGCTCTCTCGTCTTCTGGAAATTGCCGAAGCAATTCCCCGTCCGCATTGACATGTTCGTCTGCAGCTGACCAGGACTCACGCAGAGGCTGTAGCAAAGGCCCTAACATCTCAATAAAGGTATACATATGTTCGATGTTGGTATGTTCGGAATCTCCCCAGCCTTCAATAACAAATAAAGGGACCTTGGTAACGATGTAGAAGATGAGACAGCCAAGAGCCCATATGTCCGCTTAATAGTTCACATTAGACTGCGGCATGGTTTTGGTTGCGGTTAACCATTGGTTTAGCCTCCGAAGATCCTTCCTTTTTTAGTAGTCTTGTAATCTTTATGCAGCTATCTAATCATGCATTTTTACACTATGTTTTGGTTCTTACAGGCAGATTATGTTAATACTATTAATTATCTTTGGAAAGTTTTTGAAATCAAATTTTATTCAAGTCTGATAGGGTATATTAAGTTAGTATTGATATTAGATTTAGTTATGGAGAAGGGTAGGTCTCGCCAAAACCCGTGGGTATACGGGTCGGGTCCAAACCCAACCCGTTTCTTGGCGGGTTTTGGGTCGATGGGCTGAACCCGCGGGTTGGGTATGGGTTTGGACATCTAACCCGTGGATTTTTAATGGGTACCCGCGGTTTAACAAACAGGACAAACATAGAAAATCCCGTGGTCTGCATAATCTATACACTTTCAGGCTGTATCTTCAGATATTACCTTTACATCTACTATGTAAGACACCGGTCCGTTGACTTTACCACTGCACTACATGCCAAAAAGGCTCAATGAATGACCAACAGGCCATTCAGTCAACGTACTATATAGGGACCCTGACACATCTTCTTACACATGTACTACGCATTGACTATCATGCAAGCTAAGCCTACATGTTGCTTGGACATCGTCCTGTTCTAAGCCAAGGCTTGGACATGAAAGAATAGGGCTTCATGTAAGGGATTTACCCCGATTAGAATGGATCTGTTATGCCTTTCTACTGTAGATATCAAACCTTCCAGACCAGGATAACCACAAAAAATCGACACTGCGTCCTGATTTTCGAAGCTTATTATTTTACTTGATATTGTTGATCCTCAGCATTATTCGTTTTGATAGGGAAACATTGGCATGTTATTCTACTCGGTAGATATTCAGGATCGAAATTCAGAAAATGCCTATGATGGACTAGCGTTATTTGACATTCCGAGAATTTCTTGACTCTTGGGGTATCTAGGGCTGCTCCCATGAACATCTGGGCTTGTGCTGTCTTTTGACGTAGAAAGTCCACGAAAATGTTTGCCAGGTTGGTGCAGCGTGGTAACTACAGCATTTTCCTACTGGGGAAACGGCCGTGGACATCAGAAAGAATGAAGCTTCCCTTATTCGTCATTTTCATGATGGCATTGTTGGGTTTTGGGGGGAGTGTGGCGGGCAGAAGTAGACTAGGAGTGGAGAAACGGGCAAGGGGGGAGTTCGCTAGTTGAGGTGCAGTTTATCGAGGCTACTCACTCAGGGCACTCAGTCCTCCGCTGACTCCGTGCTCAGTGATCGCCTCAGGCCACTCAGGGCATGCTCAGATCTACCCAGTGAGCAAAAAGCGGCGAGGGGTGAGCACAAAAACAGAAAGGGAAAGCCTTCGCCGTGGCTAGAAAATCAAGTACATAGGTGAGAGTGGCGTACAGCTAAGTGAATACACCCCTGCAGGCCCCTTTGCTGCATCTCACCAGTGTGCATTTAGTCCGAAGGTATGCTTGAATACCTTCATGGCCATTTTCAAGCCCCACGCCACTCATCTTCCAGCCCCCGACAGGCATTTCAGCAGGACTTTCACCCCAGGTGTTGATCCAAGTCATGCCTGCATCTAGCTGCTGCACAACTCGCTGCACAAGGCCCATGTCAGATGAAACAACGCCAGCCGCAAGCCCCATGGGGGCATCGTTTGCCCGTCAGATCAATTCAGGCAGCCAATCATCTTCCGCTAGAGATGTTGTTTCGTATGGATGAATACTCATCACCGGTCCAAATATCTCTTCTTGAGCAATGCGCATCCGTGCAATCTGTAAAGAAAACAGGCGGAACCCAGAAGCCTTCCTTTGAAGGTACCTCCTTCTGGGCGTCAAGACTGCCATCGTATAATACCCTAGCCTGATCAACCTCGCGGCCGTGTTTGATATAATTGTTGACCTTGTCTTGCTGTGTCTTGTTTACGAGCGGTCCAAAGTTAGTTGTTTCATCTTTTGGAAGACCCATTCGAATTCCCTTCCGACAGGCCATTACCAATCCTTCTTCCACTCTGCTAAGGAGAGTCGTAGGGACAAAGACACGAGTTCCATTTGTGCAAGCCTGGCCACTCGAGAAAAAGTTGGCCATCATCGCCGTATCGACTGTTTCTTGGACATCGGCATCTGGGAGAATCAAAAGAGGACTTTTACCGCCCAGTTCCATGGTTATGCCTTTCATTTTGCCCACGGTCTCGCTGGCAACCTTACTACCGGTGCTAACTTAGCCGGTGAAGCTCACTTTTGCGATATCTTTGTCAGCAACCAACGGAGCTCCAACACTTGGTCCATCGCCAAACACGACATTAAATCCTCCCGGTGGCACCCCGGCCTCGATGTATATCTAGGCGAGGGTATTTACATGAAGCGGTGTGATTTCACTGGGTTTGTAAACCACGCAATTTCCCGCCGCCAGACAAGGAGCCGATTTCCAGAGCGCAATTTGCAAGGGATAATTCCAGGCTCCTATCCCAGCACAAACACCAATGGGCTCGTGGCTAGTCGAGATAAAAGCGTCGGGTCCAAGGCGAATATGTTGGCCTGGAAAACCACCAGCCGCAAGGTGTGCATAGTACTCGAGCACATCGGCCCCAGTGGTGACATCTACCGTGATCGTTTCCGACAATGCCTTTCCAGTATCCAAAGTCTCGGTGAGTGCCAATCCGTCGTTTCTCTGTTGGAGAATTGCTGCAGCCTTCAGCAATATGGCCGCTCGACGAAATGGTGGAGTCTGCGACCATACAGGAAAGGTTGCATGGGCGGATGCAATAGCGTCGTCAAGCTGCTGACGCGTGGTGGTATAGATAGTGGCCACAGTATTTCCGGTGGCAGGATCAATAGAATGGAAGGTGGATGATTTTGAGGGTGATTCTGGCTGTGGACGCCCAGAGTGAAAGGTATGGATTTGATTGTCGAACTTCGTCATTTTCTTTTTCTTCCCTTTTGTCTTGTAGATGGAAGGTCCTGTCGGAAAGAAGAGATATAAAAACCTGGGTTTGTTAATTAGATTAAATAACTTAACTTCAGATACTACAACATCGTACATCATAGCCTCGTTCACTTTGGAATAGAACACACCTCAGTTCCCCTCCTGCCACTGGCACCCAAAAAGGGGAAAGATCTACACTATGGCCGGCTCCCAGGCCGGCGCCCCGGTTGCCAGTCATCGGCTTCGACATTTTGCTCCGGTCATGTGGCCGGGTTGGTACTGATTGTCCTCTTGTTGGCCATGTACAGTCACAAATTTATCGGTTTTGATGCCTACATCGAGCTCACCTACCCGACCACGTTAGGTGAAAGAAGAGGGGTCGCCCGAAGGCGAAGGAACGGGGCGGCTTACGGGCGGCTGACCCGATGGCAGAGTCGAACAATATATCACTAATCATTGATCCCATTTATATGTGATCTATACCAACAAGTAAATACTGCATGCATATATCAAAAATGTAAACCCGAACTATGTCCCGCATAGCAGGCAATAATTGACCCATCAATCCCACTCCCTTCCATATGCACACTGACCCCACAACTAGCAAAGCCAACGACACCAGTAAGGAGCATCACACTATAAGGCAAATAGCCAGACAGGCACAATTATCCTAAGAGCTCAGCTTCGACTGCAAGAAGCTAGCCGCCTCGCCGGCGTTAAGGCCATAGGTCAGATGCGCGGGCGTGATAATCAAAGTACCAGAGCAGACCATGTCGCCAACGGCGCAGAACACCTTGACCTGGTCCTTGGGGTAATTGGGAATCTGGCCCTTGTCCTGGAGGTTACGGGTGAATCCGAACAGAACCACGCCCTTGACCTTAGACTTGACGTCGTCGTCGAGGCCCTGCACGGCGTTGTCGATGACGGCGGAGCCTTGACTGTATTTTCCAGCATTGTTAGCATCGGGTACTGAATATATTTCGCTGTCCTAGCGGTATGTAGAAGGAGAGGCAAGGAATGAGAGGGGTCTGTACCTGTAACCACCCGCAACGATCTGCGTGTTGGGGCACTTCTGCGCCGCCTGGTTGAACCACTTCTTGGCCTCGTTGATAGCACCGGGGTCGGTGTTCTGGGGGAGTGCGTTCTGCGCAAGTCCGGCGGTGTACATGCCACCAACACCCTGGCAGGCGACTTTACCAGCACCGAGCTTCGATTTCAAGCCCGAGCAGGTAGGGGGTCCGATGACACTGCCCTATTATTTTTAAACCCGTATATTAGTCACACGTATACCTACGGCAAGGAGATATAGGAAGGTGTGGGGGAGAGAGACATACCATGTTTCCAATCTCAGTGGATCCTCTGGCGAAGATGAAAGTGACATCCTTGCACTGGCCGCTCTGCAGGTCGTTCGAGTCCATGAGCTGACGCGCTTCGAGGGAGTGATCCGGCTCGGCGATGGGGCTGGCGACGGCCAGCGTGGCCAGCGCAGCGACGAGCATGGAGCGGAGAGTGACCATCTTGAAGTTGATCTTGAAATAACGAATGAAATATACTAGAGAAAGAAAGGAAAGAAGAATAGATGGGCCAGCCGGAGTGGGATGGATGGGATGGAATTCAAACAAGCGATACGGGCTTTCCAGAGCCTTTAAATATCTTTTCGAGCACGATGAGAAAGACCCGCTTGATCCGGGGGATTAAGTGACCTCACCGACCCGGCAGAGGATCTACAGACCGAAGAACGGAGTCAACTACTACAATCAGGCTACCGGATGTGATATGATCCTGAGCTTGGCTCTCGCACTGATACCGTAAACACGAGATTGAATTTTCGTGCCTGAAAACACTGGGTCCAGGACAGGAATTAACATCTCATGCCAATCAATCGGCGGCAAACACCGATAGCCCTAATCAGAAAACCACGGTCGAGAGAGAAACAACAAAGTACCGATCCTAGGGACGGGCTCGGCATCAGAGCAGGCACGGAGTAATAGACCATTGCCTAGGAAACTTTCAATCCATAAAATGAGACAGACTTTGAACAGGGACAAGTACTACAAAGAAAATGACTGGCTTGTTTCAAACCAGAACATAGCGCCGCAGGTCCTCCCCGTCCGTGTCTGTTCCTGGCAAGCTGCAGGGCTCAAAGCCCCAAACAAACCCCCGTATCCGTGTCCGAGGGGGGATCCAGTAGATCCATCCAAAGATGAAACCGTTCGGGGAGAGATCCACTCGGACGAAACTTTATTTCTGAACGGTGAGTCGAGCTCATTCGCGAATGGCACATTCCGAGGTAGGGTTTGTGTTCCAGAATGACTCGCCAATATGTCAATAAGGCTAAAGCACTGTCCACTTAGAGCAGAATCACCAACTGCCGAAATTAAACATCATGGACTGGAGGACCATACCGAGGTTTCTTCTGTACACATCCAAAAGTGAGGTGTTTGATTCGGCGCATGTCCTGGTTCGGGTTAGATCAAACTAGTCTCGAACTAGAACATACTAGGCTAGAGTGATCCACTTGGATCTGTTCAGTTCTCATATTTGAGCACTTTTACTTCATCGGGGTTTGGCTTGGACTGAAGGATCGAACGGATGCTGGACCATCTAGTCTAGGCGATCCTTGGTTCCGTTCGTTTCTATCTTTGTGTTCGAATTAGGGCTCGCATATTCACATTCTCACAGCAAACTTTTGACGGTTTGGGGTCGGCTGTCAGGATCTCGATACTTCCACGGAGAATAAGTTTTGGTTCTGACTGACTGACCGACAAATTCTGCGGTACACGTGGTGAATCAACTCGGTTGAAGGTGAATTCATCCGTCCGGCAAGGAAAGATCGTCGGTCCGTGTGTTCCCTTTTTTGCCACGGGTTGATCCATCCCAAAAGTAAGAATTCAACGATTTCAGGGTCAGCCAGGGTCGGTCGACAACCAGGTTTTGTCTGTTGTTTTCTAGAATCTATAGTAATCATTCTCTGAGATCCGAGAATTAACCCAATCTTTATTTGTTTGTTTTTGTTCTCTCTTGCACTGTCTTCGGATCATTTGACTCGAGTTTAATTTCCACATGCCATAAAGGCCAAGACATGCCATATCACATGCCCAAGAATGCAATGCCCCTAATTATCCCGACATTCCACCGAGAAGAATCAATCAACACAAAATCACCCATCTGCCTAATTCCCGGTGTACTTCAACGAATAAACCCCCCTCTCGATACTATTCAACAGAATATACCCGCTCTTGAAGTACGGATACACACTCCAACTGCCGACAAACTCGACCTCTCCGCCCACCTCGTCATCCTCGGGATGCACATCAAAGAAACCCACCTGTTTCAGGCCCTTCCCGGACGGGTCATCGGCAATAGACGAGACATCGACGATACGCAGCCCGCTACCGTAGTTGGATTGATAGGACAGCCCGTCCAACACGTACTGGTTGTGATCGATCGAGCGCACAGGTGACTGGTAGAGTCCCGTGTTCTTGGGGTCCGAGAGGTCCGATACGTCGAAGATGTACGTCGTCGTGTGGCCGTTGGCGGCCGAGCCCGTGCCATCGACTTCGTCGAGCTCGTCGTCTAGGAGCAGATAGGCTTGGTCTGGGGTGGCGATCCAGCCTTGGTGCGTGTAGCTGGCGCCGACGTAGGGTGTTTTGGAGATTTGGATCGGGTTGGTCTTGTCGGTTACATCGACGATCGTGAGCGTGTCTTCGTTGTAGTTGAAGCAGATTTCTTGGCCCGTGTAGTTGCTGTCAGGGCCGGTGTAGACGACGCATTGTGCTGGAGGGTGGAAGTGATTGTTTAGTTTTTGATTCTTCATGGGAAGGAGGAGATGGGTGCTTTATGGGTTGGTTTACCGTCATGCACGTAACCATCCTCATTCGCACAGCCAGGAGACACGGGCTTCGCTGGATCAGAGACATCCACGATCCAGAGTCCGCCACGGCAATCGAGCCCTCGAGCAGTCCCGACAGCGTAGATGAAGTCTTTCTCCGCGTGTGCCACGATGTTATGCGAGCTGCCAAACTCGTCGTACCAGGCCGTCAGGTCATCTTGGATCGAGAAGCTAGTCGGGCTGCTACTGTTCGTATCGAGGAGCTAAATGGATCCAATTAGCATTAGCCAGCGCTTTTCCCTTTTCCCTACCCTGTGAAACTACACACAAAGCAATGAGCGTTGTGTAGACATACCTTAGTCAGATCGAAGATCTGCAGCCCATGTCCCTCAGCCTCCGAACCAATGAACACATGGTTCTTGATGACTTTCATATCTCTCCATATACTGGCCTCGGTCTGCGTGGGCAGTCGACCAACATACTCGATGCTACCATCATTCAGGACCTCAATGAAAGCAACACCGTCTGTTTGTCCGACAATACCGAATTCGCGGCCGTCGGCGGACTCCCAGCCTGCATGTTTATATAGAATTAGCACAAGCTGGAGATATATAGATGGAGGGGAAGAAACATACCCCACAAATCATTTCCCTCACGAGTCGTGCTGCCCAGCGCCTGGTGGCTCAAGAAAGCCTGCAAGTCGACGTTTCCGCACGAGTACTCGCCAGCCTTGCCGTCTACGCACTTGGTGCTTCCTTGATCGATGTATTTGTTCACTTTGAAGAGACCCTGGGAGCGAGCACGCTCTCGATGCTCCAACTTCAAAGACATCAGATGAGCCATTCGAGACTCGCCCTCTTGGGACGCCGTCACGGCGCAGGCCAGCGCCAGGGTGGATATGATCGACAACTTCATTGTGAGCTCCGCTGCTGTTGCAGGTCCCAAGGACAGAAAACTGAATTTGAAAAGCTAGAGTGTGTGACAAAGAAAGAGCAGTGAGGAAAGAAAGCCGTGCCAGTCGAATTCCTCCAAGATAGTATTCTTGTCCTCTCATCAGGCACCTTTTATATCACATCTTGCCGACCTCACCTCCTCATTCCACAACATCTCGCCAAGATCACAACATTATGTGCCAAGTTACAGACCAAGCTGAATAGGAAGGTCATGCTAGAGAAGGAAATTATTCTATTCATGTCCCTCCCCATCCAGAAATTGCACAAGGGCAGTTAGATGCAAGAAACACCCCGCCGAGCAGGACATGCAGGGCAGAGTCGACAGACAACGTTGCAGCGCATACCGATAACAGCAACTAACAAACTAGATAGTATCATGCAAGTCACTCCGCCCCAATCAGGCTCTTAGTTCGCACGTACCTTGACTTATCTCCGCGCAATAATTAAATCAGGTTCGCCAGCCAAGGCGCAGCAAGCCAACCAAAAACACGGCTCTTTCGCTGTCGGCTCTTGGAAGCATGAGATAGGGCTTCTTGGGTTACAGCGCTAGCTCGTGTGTTCCCTCACGGCAGGGGATTTTCGTTTCTTGGTTGGACGGGCCGGGTCTTTTAGCAATCATCAACCAGAGGGATCGGCATTCTTGGCTGCCGGGGATGTAACATGGAGGATGTCGCTATCGGGTACTTTCCTTCCCTGATGAGTGTCCTGGAACTGTATCGGGAAGATCGGTGCTGATAGTCAGGTCCATAGTTAATGACTGTGTGTGACTGAGACCTTGCTAGAGGTTTGCAAATACTACGTGGGGTTTATCGCCCTGTCGATGCGATAGAGCTGCAAGTGACCAACTATGGTCTATTAACCGTTTCTAGGGTCTAAATTTAAGTGTATTAAAGCAGAGGGGGCAGAATGATAACGGATAAAATTTAATCAACTAAAAAAGAAAAGACGCGGGCAACGGCGCTAGAAACAATACCCGTACAAGCGGGGAACCATCGCCAGGGATATTAGAGACGTTCAGAGAGCTTCTCAATGAACGTCTCGCCCCATTTAGCACTGGTGATTGTCAATATGAATCGAAAGTGAACTGCGTTTCAAAATCTCGCACTCACCTGGTATTGGTTTCAATAAATTCTCTTAACCCTTCATACCGCCGCTTCCGATCCTCACTGTTCATCGAGACAGCCTCATGAATGGCATCAGACATCTCGGGAATGTTGGCAGGATGGAACGAGATACTGCCCTCCTTGAGAAACGACGCAGCCCCTGCAAATTCGGAAAGAACTAGCACGCCATGTCGCTGGGCTTGGCATGCGATATACTCAAAGGAGACGAGGTTCATGCCATCCCGCGTAGAAGTCAACAAGCAGGCATCGGCCAACGAGTACAGCGCCGTCAGTTCCGTGAAGGACACCGAGCGGTGGATGTAGATGAGCGGAGTTCCGTCGGCAGTGGCTAGCACCGCCCGTTAGTTTGGCATTGGCACTGCGGGTGACTGACAAATGGGGAGCCAAGAATAAATCATCCAGGGGAGGGATTGCGCACCGTGTTTCCCGCTGATTTTTCCGACTGTCGTGCAGATATCCGTCTCCAAGTCTTGATATTCCTTGACGTCCTCCCGACTTGGCACGGCTACCTGGATCAAGACCACTTTTTTGCTTAGCTCGGGGTGGTGGTCTAAGAAGTAGTCGTAGCCTTTCAGTTTCTGGGTTAGGCCCTTGATGTAATCTAGTCGGTCGACACCGAGAATGACCTTGACACCCTTGTATCTTTCTTGCAGTTCTTGGATCCTGGTTCGGACATCTGAGTCTTCCAGAGCGTCGGTGAACTTCTGCGGGTCAATCCCTACAATAAATTTGTCGGCCATAATTTTCCGGTCTTGGTATTGGATCTCCCCTTCGACTTCAGTAGATGCGCCGCTATGCAATTCACAACGTCAGTACAAACATACTTCACCTTCACCAGAAAACTCACAGTGTCCGCGCGCAAGCAAAAAAGTTATGTTTATACTCATCGGTATGGAAACCGATTAGATCGCTCGCAAGAATCCCCTCAACGAGCTCATTCCACACAGGCAAGCTCTTCCAAAAGTCCTCTGCGGGGAAGGGTGTATGTAAAGAATAACCGATTGCAAAAGATTTGCCCTGCTTCTCAAGCCGTTCACGCAGCAATTGGGGAAGCAACATTAAGTGATAATCATGAATCCAAATCATATTGTCCTCTGTGACTTCTTTGGCGATAATATCGGCAAAGATCTCGTTGACGCGCTTGTAAGCTTGCCAAGTGTCGTCGTCAAAGTCCACACCCGACTGGTAGTGGAGGATAGGCCAGAGAGTGGAATCTACTTGGATTGAGTAATAGTTTCATGCAAGGCTCGGGATTATTGCAACTCACTCGAGAAGCCATTGTAGTGGTCATGCGCCAATTGCTCGTCGATGAATATCGGCACGGCATTGTGCTCGCTGAGGCTTTTCGCTACCTTTTCTTGCTCGTTCTCGTCCTTCACCTCAATCCCCGGCCAGCCAAACCAGCGAAAAGATGTCGACTTGGTCAGTCCGGATAACGAGGTAACCAGTCCTCCGCCCGAGACGTTGGCTTCAAACGAATCATCGACTCGTTTGATCGAGAGCGGAAGTCGGTTGGACACGACGATCAGATTCTTTTTCGAAACTGAGACACTGGGAGGCATTTTGAAGCTATCTCAGACAGACACTAACAACTAGCCTCTGTTCTCATGAAGCTCTGGATTAGTCGAGAATATTTAAGGTCTGTTGTGTAGTTGTTCGCTACTGCAGGCTGACCCTTTCTAGTAACATACGTCAGTATGAATAATCAGTGAAAACCAGCAGGGCGTGTCAGTAATATTTACTCGGCTAATGCAATTAATGGAAAAGATGATCTTCGCGATGAGTGGTGAAGCCAGGAGATCTTCCTGGGCCAGTGTGGTACGGCTCCAACGTCATACAGCTGTCATGCTCAATGCCAAGACTCCATAGCTGCCACTCCACGAGTTCACGCCAAACATAAAGAGTAATTCTGCAAAGCAATGCTTGTTTATGTTGGAAAGTATATACAAATCAAGAATCCAAAAGTTGGGCAAACAAACTCCTTCACCTTTTGTTATACAAATCACGAAACACCTTGGCTGTAGCCTATTGACCGGTCCCAATATCCCAAAACAAAACTATTAAGAATAAAATATAACTCCGTAGCAGAATCGCCACTGATGCAATGAAGCGTGTGCGCAGATATCAGAAGCATGCGCTTTTGGTGAGTCAAAATTCCTGTACTGTCGGACAGGATATCCTAGGCATTGGTTTGCCTAGCTCGGTCTCGCCGTCACGACCACGTTTGGGAATGTTCGATCAGGAATGGGTTTTCTTGTTTGCGATCAAGGCTCGAGGTATGTCCCTGGTAGCCGATGATCGGGTTGTGGTGGGTAGGAGGCACCTGAGGATAGTTATGGGCCGATGGGTACTGTTGCTGATGCATGCGGTTCTTTCTGAACGAACGGAAGGACCAGTTGCTGACAACGGTAACGGTAGAGATAGTGGCGAGGAAGAACAGCTGTAAATCGTTAACTTTGGTCATCAAGAATAGGAATAACACATAGACATACAATAGCCTTCCAGCTGATAGGATCGATGAAGCTATTGATGATGACCGCCATCGTATGCGCTGACACTTTGGCGCGTCCCACTTTAGCCGGGTCCCGGTTCATGCAGCGCTCCCAGTTCTCGCAGACCGTCTCCAAGGCCGGAAGTCGATCGTGGCCACCACACTTATTATCAACATAGTTCCTAGCACACGTCGCCATTTCAGCCAGAATGCCATCCGACACCTCCTCGGCAGCCTGTTCAAACTCGGAGCGAATCGTCGACACAAATCCAAAGACCACGTAGACAGTAATCGAAAACAGTACCAGATTCACCAGCAACTGCGCCCACCAGGACAGAATGCTCGGGATGTTGGGATGCGCCTCCAACAGGGTAAAGAACTCCGAAAACGACGAGCCCCGACTCGCGGGTTGCTGAACCTTCATCCCATTCTGGGCTTGTCCTCGCTTCGACGACTTTCTCTGCAGCGACTGCTCCTCCCTGCTGCCCGGTCGGTCGTGGTCACTGTCGTCTTCATCCTCACTGCCCTCCCTTCGCAACTTCAGATCCAGCGCTTTATCCCTGCGTCTCCGCTTATGTACCCGTCGCGCCAACGCATTCGAATAGTGGTTAATGCGAGGGATCTCGCCTCGTCCAGGGCTCGGCGCAAACCGTCCGTACATGTTGAACAGCGAGTTGCGATGTCCCGACTTGGTCGGCGGTTCGGGGGTGTCCTCGTTGTCCGCACATTCCGGGGATGACATATTCTCAGGGCCGGAGGAAAAATCGAGGTCGAACTTGCGAGGGGTCATGAAGGCGGCCGATTTGCCGAAGACCGATTTGGGGGTACTAGGGGGTTGTTGATGTTGAGGTTGCTGGGAGAAGAGGAAGGGTTGCGAGTGGGGTTCACGCAGCGCGGGCATCTGTTTCTTGGGCGGGGAATCGAAAATACTATGGGGACCTGTGCCTTGGGAAGTCAGATTCGACTGCTATCAATGGGGGGAAGCATTGGGATCCAAAACGCGGGGATGTCAACGCACGTTTCTTCTGGTTGTCATGCTGCATGCTGAGCTGATAGAAAGGCGAAGTGACGTCCCCGGGGGCACGGGTCTGCCACTCAAAGTCCATAGGACTTTCCGCGGACCTTTTGTCCATTTTGGCGGATAGAGAACAGGATAACAAGACACAAACGTCGGTGGGGGGTGGAAAACGAGCGATGGATGACGAGCAAGGAGACGGTCGAGATGGAATCTTCTATCGGAGGTCGGCGATGGATTTTCTGACCATTCCCGATTCGGTGTTTGGTAAACAATCCGCTTATCGCCCCTGCTCCAGCAACGCAGGCGGTCACTTCCACACGTCGCGCATCTTGTTTACGAGAGATGGTTTTTCTTGGGGATAGAATAAAGATTTGAATTAGTTTGAGGGACAGGTCATCATTTACATTTACCTATAGAGGTAGGGGGGAACTGGGGTCGCAGGTTGTTGCAGAAGAGGAGCGTTGCAGATCGCTGACGGCGTAGATAACGGGAGCTTCCGGCCAGATCGCTGACAACAACTTACTTTAGTTATTTCTACTTGTCTCTCTTGAATGATGGACACCAACAAACGACCACAATATGTTATTGTAAATAATAACAACAACGCGCATGCTATACTATACTAATATGATACTGGGGTATGAAACAGCTGGTCTAGAGAACAACACAAGAAACAAACATCAAATCCAACAAGACACAAGGCATGATCAGCAAGCCAAACACGCAGGTCGCAGCGTGATAAATATAATCATCGGCAGCATCAAAGTCTAATCAACTCCATACTGATCGCGGTAGAAAGCAGAACCCGACTCCGAACGAACAAAGGACACGTCAATAATACAAAACCTACAGGTGCGATTACAAACGAACGCGGTCCACCAGCTCAAAGTCGTCGTCGGCCAGATAACCGCCGTTGGTATCATGCTCATGCGACACGATTTCGTACTCCTTGACGAGTTTCTCGGTCTCCTTCGTCTCGAACCGTTCCACGGCCTTGTTCACCGCATCCGAGAGGATCGTTTGGCCGGCGACTTCGTAGTGTTCGACTGTAGCGACGGCCTCGTCGTCCGGCTCCTCCGCGATAGTCGGCGCTGATGCGGGGTCATCGACGTCTTCGCCACTGGAAGAGTCCGAGGGGCCGCTATCAAGGGCCTCTCGGATATCGTATCGGAGGTCGATCTTGGCCGAGGTGGCGAGTTGATTGGTCTTGGCCTTCCGGTCGTGCTGCATGGCCCGATGGAGGCTACGACAAGGGTCAATATGACTAGCCTATATTCCTCTATTCCCCTTTTCAAACCGAGAATGAACATACCTCATATAATGAGTGGAGGGCACCGCAGGACGGGTGACCGGGGATACTTCGGAGACCTCCTGGTGAGGGAACGCAGATCGGCCACCATAAGCCCATTTCGCCTTCTGGTTGTAAACCCGTTTAACATCGGTTCCAGCTCCACGCAGGTCGTTTGCAGCCAGAGGTCCAGACATGATGAAAAGACGTCGAAGGGATGATACTCTTCAGGTGACCGTGGGGCAAAGGACAATAGTGGCAGTTGAACGGCGGTGGTTCTTGCTTGTACCGGCCGGGATATCACAATATAGACCACTCGGGACAGGGAAATGGAATGGAATGGGCTGAATAAGAACAAAGGTAAACGGACTGATCCAGCGGAATCGCGAAGGATCAGGAAATAAGCCGTCAAACAAACGGTCTGGTCTTTGTCTGAGTCACCGGGTGACGGGTCCAGTCATCAATTCCTAATCCGTAACTGATCCAAGGTTATTGTTGCTCCGTGCGAGCAGGGAGACTAGTGCTGAGGAATGTCAAGGATGAAACCTTAACGCGACCCGTCATGAAGAGAAAGACAGGTAAAGGGCAAGAGAAGAACAGAAAGAGGGAGGGGAGAGGGGGAAAGAAGAGGGGAGAAGAGGGATATCTCTCCTATCTACTCCGTACTAGCAAGGAGTATAGCCGATAGAAGAATCTCCGCATGCGCCAAACCAGGCAGCACGAGGTCCGGGCGAGGCGATGCTGATTGCGGCAGGTCACGCTGGGAATGCGCCTGTGATGATTTGATAGGAGAGGAATCGATTGTCATGTCTCATTAATTAGATAGATGGCGCTATCCACGTTCTCTTCTTTTGCCCCTGGATGCCCCGTTCCCCCCTCTCGTCCATCGAGAACATCCCCGGGGTCCTCCTATTGCCGCCACTACGGATCCATGGTTGCGTCCTTTCCTTCAATCGGACCCCGAGGTTCAGGGAGGAGATGGTTCGACTGGCCAGATAGAGGCGATCAATCGGATCCACAGGGACAGGCACGGGGTTCTTGATTGGCATCGGTGGCAGTACGGATGACGGTGTTGGCCTGAAGGGATCTTGGGAGAGATCCCCCTCTGAACCCGTGGCGGCGTGGCAATAATCTCAGATTCACACAGTCGCAGTAAGCCTGAGTCATCTCCGGGGGATGACGCCAAACCAACTGCTTATCACCTGCCTCGCTGTCGATCCACGCTCAAGCGCCCGATGACTCGATCCTCCTGCATCATCCGCAGCAGACGAGGGCTAGAAGGGCATGGCCCACGCCATGACATCAAGGCTGACTGGTCTTGGCTTCTATTGTTGGAAATCCTAGGCGTCTTCCACGTCGGAGAATGGATCAGCCGCATTCCTCGCCGAACCCGAGGTTGAAAACAGGAATTGCCTGGACGATAAGGATAAGCGAAGATAAGAAGACTGACTGCCAGTTCCGCAGGTCACATTAAGTAACTAAATCTAAATAGTAAATAACTGCGTAACTTCGGCCATCCCATCCGACGTCCAGCACCGGATCCATCATGCGTAGCATCCCTTTCCATAGAAAAACAAAATGTTAATAATAATAACCTCGTGGTTATGGCATGCTTATTTCCAAAACCCTTCGTATGCAATCATTCATCCATCTGCCACTGGTAATCCAGAGCTTCAAGTCTCCCCTTCCGATTCCTCGCGCCAAACCAATCCTTCTCGAACCCAGTACTGCGATCCACCCCATCCCATCGATGACCCGGTCGAATCCCATATCGATTGGGCTGCGCCGCCCCCCGGTATAACGGTCGACCCGTCACGCTCTTGCCAGGACCCTTCGTATTCGTCAAGAACTGCGCCGCGGGATCATTCCACCGCTGCTGCGACCTGAGGTCATCGTTTAGAGAATCATCGTCGATGGTGCGCGCCACCGGCATCGCCCGCACGTCTTCCAACTGCTGCTTGCGATTCGCCCGCTGCTGTCTCTGCACGTCACCCATGAGCGCCTCCTTCGCCTGCTCCTCCTTCTCTTTCTTCTCCTCCTCCGCCCGTCGCGCCTCCGCCCGTTTCATGGCCACGTTGATGATCCGACCCGACGCGTCTCGATAGATCGTCTCCTGCGTCTGCTCCGCCTGCGGACTATCCTTGTACTTGGCCGCTTCGGCCTTCTTCCGTCGCTCCTGGGCAGCCACCATAGCGGCCGTCTGTTCCGCCGTCTGAAGACCCGCGCGGGCCCCAGACTCCATCCGCATAGCGTCCTCGCCATCTTCATTCTCCTCCTCCGCCACGGCCGGCGCGTCCTCATCTTCCCCCGCGTCCCTCCGAGCGGCACTCTCAGCCGCCGCAGAAGCTAAGATCGCGTCGGCCGCGTCCTTCTCGGCATCGTTCGCGCCGGGCGCACCGACGGTTTTCCAGCTGTTTTTCTTCGCGCGACGAAACTCTGCGCTTCCGCCGGATGTCACAACCGAAGGACCATCTTCGTCGTCCTGGCCGAAGGTGGACGCTTGGGTGCGGAGATCGGGAGGGTCGTCGTCGGCGATGATGAGGCCTTCGTTGGCGGCGTCGGCGGTCTTGGTCTTCTTGCGTTTTTTCTTGGGGCGTTCGGTTGCGGGGTCCGCGGTTAGATAGTTTTTGGCGAGGTATTCTGCCAATGAAGAGGGCATTTTCTGGTTTTGTAAGCCGTATAGTAAACCGGGCTTTGTAGGTATTAAAAGCTGTGGAGGTGATTCTCTTCCTGGTTATCTTGATAGTCGGAGTTCTAGTTTATCCGGGATGTGGATGATCACCCAAAAGGGCTAGCGTTCATGCCTTAGGAAGAAATGGTGTTGCTCCGCAAGAAACGCTCCATCTACATTAACTGACGTTTTACTTGTGTCAAAACTGAGTTACAATGCATTCCATGCAAAGTACGAAATAAATCAAAAAAAAAAAAAAAAAGGAAGATGACTACGCAATCTCCGCCTCAATAATTCCCTGTCCGTCTCCCGGAGGCTGCCAAAACTTTATAACCCGTAGACCGGGTCCCATCAACAGCTTCTCCCATTGCGAGTAAGACCGTTCCATACCAGGACACCACACCATCACCACCATATCCATCAAGACGGGAAGCAAACCCACCCAGAATCAGGGAGAATAAAATCCTCGATCACCACCTTGGAGTATCCTTTCTCCATCGCAGCAACCACGTGGTCCAAGATCACTTTGCATTTGTCGTCCGACCAGTCGTGCAGGATGGATTTCATGTAATAGACACAAGACCCTGTTGGTAGGTATATGCTGTTAGTGCATATTCTGTCCATTGATTGTTTGTTTGGGCTGGAAAAAGTTGGCTAAAACGCAGTCACAGGGGTAAGGTTTACCTTTAACCGGTTGAGACGTGAAGAAATCATGTTTCACGCGTTCGATTTTCGGGTCGAGTTTTGCGATATCCTCAATTACCGGGGGGGGGTCCTCGAGGATGAGCCTTCCCGGGGCTTCCGGGAACTGGGATGCAAAGTGAGCAATATCGTGACCACGACCGCCGGCAATATCAACTAGAAGAGGTCGAGTTGGGTCATTAGCTGCCCCGTCGAGGATTTGTTTCTGCACGGCGGACCAGTCCGCCCAGTGCGCACGATCACCTCGGATCCCCTCCATGTAGGTGTTGAACCGTCCGAGGTCTTCGGGGTTCTCTGCCAGCCATTCTCAGATGGTATTATCGAAGCCGAGTGCATATTGCATAGGCGTGGAACGATGGTCACAGGGGTTCTGGTAGCCTGTGTCTCGCAGGAAGTCCGGGGCTCGGGCCATGCCGGGAAGGCAGGAACAGAACCTGATGAAGTTGAGCCAATGCCCTTTAAGGTTGAAGCTTATATCTTAAGGTCGAGAAGCTACAGAGCTAATTGAGGGAAGGAATTGGAAACACTTACACTGAGTACACTGAGTCCATGACCCCAACGGAGATTCGTTGGGCCATTTCTTCAGTTAACTCATTTGGAGCATATAGGCCGGGTCCGCACTCTTTAACATATTCGATGGTGGCCAGCACGCGTAATATTCGCTCTATATTCTTCTCTGAGTTCAAGAACGATTATCATCCCAGAAGTAGAAACATACCCACAAATACCGGATCCGCTTTCTTGGGCACGGCGAGCTGCTTGGCCGTTGCAGGACCCCCGGTGACCAGCGAATTGTACACGTCTAAGTCATGGCCAATCTTGACAGTCATGCACTATTCGGTCAGCATCAATCCTGACATACTATGTCTTTGCACCTACTGAGAGTGACATCTTGAGGACCGCATCCTTCGGCTTTTCAAGAACTCGGCTCAGTTTCTGTGCGAGCTCAAGAGCCTCTACTCGAGATTTATCATTTTGTGAAGTCGAAAGCTCGTCGAGCTTGTAGTCTACGCCTTTGAGGATAGATTTGACGTCGGTTTCGATTGAACTCATTGCGGTAATGAAAGAATCTGAACAGACGACGGCAAGAAATCGGAAAAGTGGTGCAAATGCCAATTTTTATATATTTCCAGAAACGTCATCACAAACTGGTCTTACAATCAAACTCTCGTCAGGAAGTCTATCTCCCTCCCACGTGGAAATACGGCAAGGATTTAAGACATGACGGCAATTCCTACTCATACAAAAATAACTGATAACACCTGAGTCATGGCGACGAAGATAGGAACACGGACGCATAACCTGACTGAAGATTCAATAATCAAGAATATAAGCCAAGATTCGAAAGCTTATATAACGTTATCCACTTTCCTTCCAGGGATGTCGTGCAGTATCTCGGCAGATGTCAACAGCGTTTTAAACATCACTCATCAACTTAGAATCCAATTTAAAGTTTTCATGAAGTCAAATCCCATTAAGAATACTACAACCTTGGCAGTACAAATCACAGGCTATTGTCTTAGCATTATAGGATTTGTTGATCCATATTAATTCTAGTTTTAAGTGGCTCTCTAGCCTGGGTGGTAGGATACAAATAAGCATGGAGTTAGGCTTAATTGAATCTAGCCTCACCCTCAGCCTACTGAACAGATTTATAAGCACTTAATTCCATCCGCACCGTGCCGTGCCCCATTTGATCCCATCATCTTCGTCATTAATATTATGCTCATCACTGAGATCAAGTATGAAGGTGTAACTGGAGGATGACCTTGCATGGCAGAGAGCAATCCTGGGTTATGTACTTGGTTATCAATCTCAAGCGGAACTTTTATACACGGTATAGTGTACTTCTATCGACTCTTTCATCTTGTACTATATGATGAGAGCGATATTTATTGTCAGGAGATTCTTCTGTCTTGTCATATTGCAGTATGCTGCTCTTGAAGTTATTCTATAGTTTCTAGGCTGTGTTTGTCAATACCAGTATCGTCATGGGGTTGTTTTTCTAGGGACTGCGAGGCGGCAGGTTGAGAAAAAGAAACAGTAGAATTCTTATTTTCAATGTAACTAGGCATACACATAATTAGGCTCTAATATACTGTTAGGATAATGATTGATTGGCTGATTGATATAATACTTTTCTTATCATTGGTCTTTTTGCTTTTTGGAAGAGGTGGCCTTACCCCTCCAGAACCCCCCATGGCAAGGACAACTTGGACATGCCAAGCAGTAAAGATCAATGGAGTCTCGGAAATTGATCTAACAAGCTAACAATTGACTCATATCCATGGAGTTGTGCACGTCTTCGGGCTGTCCAGTTGTAAGAGGCTATCCAATCAGGGTTAACTCTGCGGGTTTCAAGCAGTAATTTGACCACGGTCTCGTGCCCTTTGTCACAGGCGTGCATGAGGGCTGTCCAGCCTCGATTATCCTTTAGATCTGGGTCGACCTTCTCGAGTAATAATTCAACCACAGTATTGTACCCATGGTGAGAGGCATACATGAGGGCTGTCAGACCTTCAAGATCCTTCAGATTTGGATCAGCATTATCAAGCAGAACTTTAACAATGGCTTCATGGCCATGAAAGGAGGCATATGTGAGTGGCGTGAGACCGTATCTGTCCATTCTATTAAGATCGGCCTTATCGAGTAGTAGCTGAGCGATATGAAGGTGTCCTTTCTCGGCTGCATAGGACAGTGGGGTCCTCAGAAATTTGTCTTCGGCGTCGGGATTCTTCACACGATTAAGTAGTGGTCTAACAATGGACTCTAGTCCGCTCGCCGCTGCGTGAGATAACAACGTTCGTGAGTCTGAGTCTTCTTGGTCAGGGCTCGGAACGTAGTGAAGTAGGAGGCTGGCTGGATCCTCTTTCCCACTTTTTATTGCCCAGAAAACCGGTGTTAAATGATGCACGTCTGGAAAGTTGACATTGACCCTTGTATCAGCGAGAAACATTCGAACTACCGATGTATGTCCTTTTGATGCTGCCCATGAGAGTGGCGTCCGGCCATCGCGGTCTATTGAGTCTGGGTCAACTCCAGGAATGCCTAGCAACCTTTGAGCAATTGTCAGTTGGCCCTTGGAAGCAGCCCATGATAAAGGCGTCCGGCCACTTTTATCAGTTGAGTCTGGGTCAACACTAGAAATGCCTAACAGTATTTGAGCAGTTTCCAGTTGTCCTTCAGAAGCAGCCCATGATAAAGGCGTCCGGCCACTTTTATCAGTTGAGTCTGGGTCAACACTAGGAATGCCTAGCAACCTTTGAGCAATTGTCAGTTGGCCCTTGGAAGCAGCCCATGACAAAGGCGTCCGCCCTTCATGGTCTGCTAAGTCTGGATTGGCTCCGTTCGTGTTGAGAATAGACCTGATTATTGCTTCATGTCCTTTAATTGCAGCCAATATGAGAGCTGTTCGCCCGCCTTTGTTTTGAACATTCAGGTCAGCCTTTTGGTAATCAAGGAAGTATTTCATAGCTGCCTCATGTCCTTCTTCCGCTGCTTTGAGAAATATCGTTTTCATGTGGGTGCTTTGGAGTTCTGCAGGTGTCCATATTAAAGGTGGTTTCCCGTATCTTGTCGCCGCCTCTAGCAACAAGGAGATACCGGAGGTGTCGGGGATATGTCGTCTCCTCGTCAATCGCAATCCCAACAAGCGGATGGCGGAATCCTGTTCGTCGTGTTTTTCAGGGACCAGCTTTAAGATTGCATTCTGCCATTCCTCAAATTGACAGCCCTTGACGACTTTCAAATCCCAAAACAGATAAGAGAGACAAGGGCCAATATTGACAGCCTTATGTAAGGTGGATGAGAGCTTTCTATTTCCCATCCATTTGCACCGGTGAAGAGAAACTTGTTTCAGAAAGACGTTACAAGCGGCTAGCCTGGCCAACGCCGTTGACGAGGTAAGTGGCTTTGTCTCTAAATCTTCCAAATATTCCTGGAAGAATTGATCAACTCGTTCTGAGTCCAATTCAGGAAGGAGGAGAGTCAATATTCTTTGTGCCTCCCAGTATCTTTCCTTTTTGTTCAGTTCCCAACACCGCTCGATGAATCCTTCCCATCGAGCTGAGGAAGTCTTGTCAACTTTCGGTCCCGGTGGCTGGTATTGGCTTTCGGGTATTTTGAAGTCTATGTTATCGTGTGCGAAAGGGCCATGCTTTGAGGCGGTAATAATGATTTCGAGATATAGTTCGGTAGTATGCATCTGGAGAGGTCAGCAGTGCAGGCGATTAACGGCAGGGCGATCCTTTACGTCCACCTCTTCAAACTCGACAGAAGGAGTCTCGTAATTACTGTGCCATGATAACGCAGTCCTTAGCGCCTCATGTTTTGCTTCCAACCTTTCCTTGGCCGACAGTTTTTTTAGATGCAAAGTCGCCAATAGAGACATGAATTCACAGAGACGATGTTCGGGCGCAGATCGAGATACTGGGTGGCAGAGGTGCGATAGCAGTTCATCGAACCTGCCTGCCGCGCGAAGCATGTCTGCATACTCAATAAAAACTGAGAAATTGTCTATGTGCAGCTTGAGATTTTCCTCAAGGAAGCCACTGGCCTCGTCATAGAGACCCAGCCTTGACAGCAGGGTGAAGTCCTCTAGTTCTCCAGCAATGTCTTCGACGACATCGATCTCGGAGGCCAGGGGGATGGCACCTCCATAGTGAGTGTCCGGCCTGCTTCTTGAAGATGACACCATTAGCGCCAGTATCTATTGTTGAAATGGTACTTGTGCAAAGAATGGAGTGAGAATCGATGCAGACATGTTTCATTGAAGGCGTGTCTGACATGGCCGTTAGCCGCATGAAGACTTTACCCCGCACTAAGAACGTCTCTCGCGGCATCACCTCCTCAGCGCCTACTCGGAGTATCTGTCCCCATCTTCATTATGGATATCGTCATTCGGCGCTCGAACGAGCGCCCTCAGGGGCGTTATCGGAGCCAGTATAATCGATTCGATTCCATCCCACTCGAGAAGCGTCACTACGGCAGGGCAAAAGTAAACTGTTGCCTGGAAGGGGGGACGGTTCAATGGGGATCGCTCCAAGACAGGGACATTGTCATCATGCATATGCGTACCGACCTCACCCAGGAAAAACATTATCGATTTGAGCGTTGTGTTGTTCAGCTTTCATTCAGTCGGGACGATCCGACTGTTCCCGATATACCTCGATTACTCGATCCTCTAGCTCCGGTGCATTTGAAGGGCCCGGATAATGTGCAGCACCGTTCAAACGAGGCCTCTGCTAGCGTGGATCTCGGGGCAGGTCCGACCACCGCCGGACTAAGTGTGGGTAGGAGTTCGGAGTATGAGATCAAAGAATCGTGGAAGTATATCAGCTACCTGGAGCCAGGGGAAGACGGTGATTACCAGGACTATTTCACACGGGCGAGTTGGTCTTGGGAAAATGAAGGTCGCTCTCGAAACGACGACCTGAGTAAACTATACTCCGGCCTGGTTTTACATCATTTCTCCCATCCGTTTCGGGTCTCTTGCTCTATCAAGGCCAAGATGTCCAACAATCTATATAAGTTCAAGAGATTCAAAAGTCATCGACAAACACCCAAAATCACCGTGATAGAGAGACCGAACGGTTTACCTCGGACAGACCTTACGGCTACAGTCGATAGGTTGGAGCGTGATATCAAAGAAAAGATTTGGGGAGCAATGGCGAGTAAGTTATCCACGCGTTGACATGACCGAGTTCGGTGCGGCAAACTCATGTCGGCCATCACAGCAATTATGTCCCCAAGAGAGTACCAAGCCGTGCCTACGGTTTAATAAGAGCTGGCTGTATATGTCCAGGAAGATTGAGACCAAGGGAGCCGCCCGGCAAGGATACCATACGGAAAGAAGCTATTCGAGGGGGGTCAAGATACAGTACAATATCGCGATACCAGTCTGGCTGAAAAGCTGATATATTGCCGAATTTATGACTTATTCAAGGCTGCTTGGGTATTTCTACTACGTTCAACATGGGGGTCTGAGCGGGAACCCCATAGTTCTACAAGGCTTTGAAGAACAAGTTGTGTTTGGTAAAGAAGCGGACGGTGAATTCCCCCAGAATCAGGTGGACTAAATGAGCAATTGTATATAAATAGAAATAATCTACATTCTTAAGATTGTTCCGGGAAAAGATTCAAGTTAAAAGTTTTTTAATAATTAACTATGCGGATTCAGGTGGCTTAAGTACGGCTGAGCGGACGAGAAAACCTGTTCTCCACACCCCGTGGTCGTATGTGCTTCGATAGGGAGAGCTTTGAATCATCAAGTACAGCAAGAGTTGTTCAAAGCTGTTTTAGGAACCAGAAGTGTGGCAGTACTCCATATGCGCTACAGAGTGGATTTACAGAAGTGGTTTACTGTTGTAGGCGGACTGGGTGATCTAGAGATACCAGGCAAGTAGATATATGGCTCAAGAGCAATAACAAAAAGCTCCTCTGGCACACATGGAGTACAAAGACGCAATTCACTTTCCAAAGCTCCGGACACCATACTGAAATTACAATCCTTATCCCGACTCTTAGTGAAGCTCTGTAGTGTGAGCTGTAATAAGCAGTAACCTGAAAGGCTCTAATACCATGAATCGTCTTTCCCCACCACATAGGTATTCCTCGACGATGCTCGACCGATAGTTCTTCAATCACCAGCATACGGGCAGCAGGGTCCTGTCCATTTCTTGCCGCAGCGGTAGCAGAATTCAGCCTTGCATCTGCATCTGCTCACGATGATGGTCAGTGGGTTACATTTGCTTGGTTTGGGGCATATTCTTAAAAAAGAAAGCTTGGTAGTAACGCACATTATATGGTAACAGCCTGCGCTTCGTTCCACCATATTTTGACAGGAAAAACAGCGTCTCCAGCCTTGCTTCATACTCAGAGAGAGAGTAGCTTGCAGTGCTTCGTCTTTCGGACAACCATTTTTATGGGTAGGTTTCTGACATATTATGCAAGTCGAGCGGCCACAGGATTTGCATTTCACTATTTCTGCTCCAGCCTTGATACGGCTAGGTGGGAAAACCCTGCGGCAAGTCTTATTGCTGCAGTATTTTGCGTTTGGGGTATTGAATTCGACTGCTGCGTTTTTGAACGCGCGCTGTTGTACCAACGACAGGTGGCTCTGGATCAGATGTAGAGGGATCACCTCGCGGCAGCATTTCGGTGGGAAGAGCGATCGGTCCTTCGTAGCCCTTAGGAAGAGACCTTTTAGGCAGCCAGTACAGTAGAGGTCAGAGCACTTCAGGTGCACTATTTTATGCTGTGGGAAGCGGTCGTAGCAGACACAGCATTGCGGGCGTGCTTCAGTGATTGTTAGCGTGGTGTCTTTCAAACGCTGAATATTCATCAAAGAGAGTCGACGGGGTCATCCTCCAGGATAAACTAACTCCTTAATTCGTACATGCTAGATGGTCCCGCGACTGTCGAAATACCCTGACTAGGTTTTATCCCCAACCGTCTATTGTTCGCGATCTGTATCTTTGTTTCTTCCTCTTTATTGGCCGAAGCTGCCCATTCAGGTGGGTGGCCCCTCTGTCGTTTGAGATAATTGTATTGCCGCAGCAGTTCGTCCCAGAACGCTACCGTGGCGGTTATATCATCAGAGCGAGTGCCGAGCGGGGGTCTCTTTTCATAGAAGTGATAACGCTTGTCTATTTCGGCCAGTTGCGTTATTATGGCTTGGATTTCGTCCTGCAGGGTCGATTGAGATGGCTCGTTTGGGGCTGGTGTTTCGTCATCCAAGCTCAATCTTGATACTGGACGAGCTAGTATGTTTCCCATGTTGGAGATGATATAGTAGCATGAGACAGTGGCATACAGGGAGAGAAAGATACTGAACAACCATGACGGGGCTTTAGGTGCAATAAAGCGTTTAGAACTGCCATTTTATTCCCCAAGATGAGTTCATATTTACCTGTTGATCCGTCATAATCATACCATTAGGGCCGTTGACTGGCCCTGGACTAAACTCCGAAAATCCGACGAACTTAGTGTTGTTCAAACCCTGGGTATGAACTATATAGGCTGTTAGTTAACATCCTAATCCTGTTGGGGTTTTACCTTTCTGGTGGCACATAAGTCGGAAGAAGGACCCGCAAGTGAATCTATTACCTGACCCATTGCTGAAGTGATGTCTGCTATACAAGAAGCTTTGATCTAGACCTCTGATTAGTCTATCTGTTTTACGAAAAGGCGCCTTACCGTTTTGATCTAGCTAATCTGGGCACTAACTACTTCTTCCCTCCTATTTTAACTAACCCCATCATCTATCTCCACATTAATCTCTCTCTAATTCTACCGAGTAGTGTCTACGCGCTTGCATGTTGGTGTACTTACTTGTTTATTGACCCCAACCCTCCCCCAAAAACAAAGTTCAATCCTACCCAACTCAGTGCCTCTGGTAGACCCAGAAAATAAAACGAAATGCCCCGCTCCGACGAAACCGAGTTCTGGATCAACGCGGTGTACGCCGCCGTGCAAGAGATCCCGATTGGAAAGGTGACTTCATACGGCCATATTGCGCTCTTGTTGGGTCAACGTATGCTTTCCCTTCCATTACCTATCTACCCATCATTCCCCTCCCCACCCCAAACCCCAACATCCCCATAAACACCACACCATACCATACCACAATACCACACCAGAAACCGAAAACGAATCCAAAAACTAACCACACAACCCCATACAGCCCAACGTCCCCGCCAAGTAGGAATAAGTCTAAAGCACCTCCCCTCGGACCCAACCCAACACTTCAACTCTGGGAACGTGCCGTGGCAACGCGTCGTAAATGCCAAAGGCATGATCTCGCATCGGTGAGTCTACTTCCTATCACCATCTTATCATATTTCTATCTATCTCCATGTGTCTGCATCTAACGATAGTACATGCATGTTTGTATTAAGTCGGGTGCTAGTGTTGTTCGAAGGGATTAGGGCTGTGAATTAATCATTAACTTGTTTCTACAGGGAACCCGGGAGCGCAGAACGGCAAGCGGAAGTATTACGCGAAGAAGGCGTAGAGGTGGAGACGGACAGTATGGGGGAGTTTTATATCGATATGGGTCGGTACGGGTGGTTTCCTGCACAGTTGCCGAGTGAGGAGGGGTTGGATGATGATGATGACAACGATGACGACGATGACGACGATGACGGCGACGACGAACATAATAACCGCAGAGAGTAAGATATTCCGACAGATTCAAGTTACAGATACATGGACCAGGAAGCATGTGCATTCAAATCATATTTACAGATTCCCGAAAGAGAACTCTGTCATTGTATCATCTTATCGCCATGACACCCCCACACCGGATCCCATGCTCGGTGGCTCGTAAACATGGTCGCGAAGGCTTACCAATTTGTAAGCAAGGACAATTGAAATCAGAGAAACAGAGACGAATCAACCAAAGGGGAAGAAAGAGGGGGTCTTTTGAATGTGTCTAAGCGCCAGTCTCAAGGTGGATAAAGTGTCGGTATATGATGAGCGTCAATCAGGTTTGGAAAAGTCAAGAGTAGATCGGAACTCTATGGTGGTTCAACAAGAGCAGTAGGAAAGAATGAGACAGGTGCATGTATCGTCAATAAATGAAAAAGAAAAAGCAATGAAAGAAACAGAGGCAGGTAAGGTCATGTCGAAGAATTCATAAACATCCAGTAAAGTGCCAAGCGAAGACCAAAGATTTCATAAGATATTTGGAAAGGAAATAGAGAGACAGATTTTCCCCTCAGCCCCTCAAGAAAAAGACTCGACGATAGGTCATGACTCACTTTTAAAAAGCCTTAATATATTATGGTGCTTCATCTTCTCTTGACCTCTGTCGCCCAACCTTCGATGCCTTCGCCTTTGCTGCCGGGGGTTATCCCCAGATCGATGCCATCCATCCCGAGGGTATCTTTCGTCCACACGTGGGAGGACATACCGCCGGCATTGGCTCGTCGCTCCGGTGACACTTCCAGCATGGGCAATAGGAACTCGCTGATCTGCATAGCCTGTTCCACTGTGAAATGATACTTCTCGCGAAGTACATCGGGCAATGCCCAATGGCGTAGCCGGTGGATGTTTCGCAATTCCCCTTTGCGGTTGAAGATTTCTTGCGACCATTTACCGGACAGACACAGCGACTTGGGAAAGGGACCCAGAAGCTCAATGATCTGCGCGATGTGATCGTCATCTTTGCCGTATTTCGTACCGGATTGCGGATCAAATAGGTAGTCGCCAGTAATGAGCTCAAAAACCTACAGCCAAATTAGAAGAGGAACCCGATGGCGTTGCCAAAAGTCCAAACGTACCATGCAAGCCATACTCCAAACGTCGGTACTCGCCCCCCACTTGGAACCCAAGATGACTTCCGGCGATCGGTATTGTCGCGTTTGGATATCGTTGGTGAAGTGATGTCCCACCCAGCAGGCGTTGCCCAGATCGGCAATCTTCACAGAGATAATGTCGCACTCGGGTTCATCATTCGACGTTTTCGAGGATGTCTTGTCTAGCGAGATGCCCGATACTTCGCGCTCCAAAAGATCCCTACTTTGTGTTAACAAACAACCAAAAGGAGGAAAATGGATCGCATTCTCGATGAACATACGTTGTCTTCTCCCTTTGTTTCTGCTTCTCGTCTTCATCTTTAATACCCAGCAGGTCTTTCATCGACGTGCCTTCATCCGCAGAAGGGCCTGAGATAAGTGAGCGACCTCTCAACACATTTGAAGAGGAGACAAATAAAAGATCCAAACATACCTGGCGATCCGCTAACCATCTGGCTGAGACTGCTGTGGGAATTTTGCGAGGTGTGCTTGAAATCGAAGCTGGTGTTGAGCGGACTCGGTAGCGGTTGGCTCCCCGTGATCAAGGTCCTGCGTCGTCGCCGCCCGTTGCGATTATCCTCCTTATGATCCTTCTTAGATTCCTCCTTCACGTAGGCCTTCACAATCTGCTCCACGTCGCCGATCTCGATCAGCACGTTCTCCGGCTTCAGATCTGTATGGATGATGCCACATTCTCGATGCAGATAGTCCAATCCCAGAAGTACTTGTTTCGTAATCTGCTTGACCAATTCCATGGGAATGCCGCGATGGTTCCATCGCTTGATCAGGCCGAGCAGATTTTCACCCAGGACCTCAAAGACCATGCAGACGTGGACGCCATTCGGGCCCTTGTGTTCGAAGGAGTCGAGCAGGCTGACGACGTGCTTGCGACCGGGGTGGGCGGGCTTGGCTTGGACGATACGGTTCAACAGTTTGATTTCATCGATGGCGGTTTCGGTGTAGTGGGCGGCGGAGCGAACGACTTTGAGAGCGACGTGTTTTCCATTGGTGGTGTCGCGGGATAACCAGACGGTCGAGAAGTGACCCCACCCCAGCTTGCGCACGATGACATACCGACCGTTGTTATATGTTTCGCCGACGCTGACGGGGTGGTAACCACCCTTACAGTAGTCTTCCGAATCTTCCTCCTCGGCGGTTGTTTCGACTTCCTCGACGGAGGACGTGGAGGGAGAACGCGATGGCGGGACGCCGTATGTGGGAACCCTGCCACCCATATTGGTTAGAAGAGAAAAAAATGCCCAACGTAGCGGAAGAGATCAGGACAGTTGCAGGGAGGTTAAGAAGGGGGCAAAATTGGGATAAAAGGATAAAAAGGGAAATAGAGATTGAAAAATGGCCAGAACAATGACAGGATGGCGGAAAAGACAGAAGAGGAAGAGAAAGCGACGATGAATTAGACAAGAAAGATTGGGTCGTACCCCTCAGTAGTGGCAGATTGTTCGACGGCGGGTGAAGCGGCGTCGTTGGTGACGATCGGCTTCAAGTCGGTCCCTTTTCTTCTCTTCTTACCGCCGTTGCCATTGGCAGCAGAAGCAGCGACGCTAGCCATTTGCTTCCCTTTATTCAGGACGGCCTTGGTGATATCGACGCCGTCCATGGCGAGTGAGAAGGAATAATAAACGGCGCAGGAGGGTTAGAAGCAGAAAAAGCAAAAAGCGAGTAGAAGACGGAGGGGAGAAGGAAGAAGTAGATGAAGAAGGCGAGAGAAGGGAAGGAAGGGGGGAAATAAAAAGTCGGGTTGGCGCAAAAAGGTCGAGAAAGAGAAAGAGCAGGAAAGTTGTGGGCGGCGGAGAGAAGCGGCGGGTGGTGGTTGTGCGAGGGGTTATGTTTGGTTGCTTTTCTGCTTGTTGCTGAACTTCTCGCGCTCTCTTGCTCTCCGCAGCTCGAGGCTCAGACCGGGAGGGGGAAGATAATACGGTCGGGGAATTACAGCGACAGAGATGGTGTCGACAGACAGCATCAACTCAGAACACACGAGAGGCAGGGTGCCAGGTGCCAGCAGGTCATGTAATGGGAACAGAAGAATGTGTCGGGGATGGACGCAAGCGCGTATGACGCAAACGATATGGAGAAACGAGGGCGAAAACAATGTCAACACCCGGAGATCTGATCGGGGAGGAATGCGTTCCCACCCAAGAATGACATCTACGGGGGGCTAAATCCTCTCTAGATCGGCTGATGCGTCGAGTTCCAATCGAGTACTGGAGACCTGCAACCGACGAATTCCCTGAATCTCAACGGCACCGAGATGGACAAAACATGGGGATATCAGGAAGACGAGGGTGGTTGATGGAACTACCCCGTACCGATGTGGCAAATCATGAATGGATTGTCGGTCCTTCCGATGCTTCGGGCGGTTTCTGGATTTGGCGGGGGAAGTGAGAACTAGTCGGTCTGAAGCATTTACTAGGTATTCTATTATATTCTATTGATCTTGGTTCCTAGTACATGTGTCTTATTTCATTCTCTACGAACAAGGACCGAATATCCCATGGGTCAAATGTCCCCCAGGATCCAGAGACGAGGGGCATCGAAGGAACCGCCGGGATGGGGCAGTGATAAGTGATGACGAGACCAACCATGCCTTTTTCCTGTCTGCTTCCGGCCATCTCTGACCGAATTGGGATTCTGCGATCGGCGCCAAGTCGCTTGTCTCTACACGCTGGAAGGTTTCTCTTGGCCTTCTCCCTGGTCGGAAGGATCGCGATGCTTTATATCGACTGCTGTTTGAGGTTGAGGTGTCAATCGTGCCAATCCCCGTGTGAGTCTAGACTCTGGACTCGAGGGTCAGATTGATCCAGCCCAAGCAGAGTGGATGCCCGTCCCTCATACTCCCGTAAGGTCGTTAACCACCCTGAAATGCCCGACTTTCATTCCCTCTGCCGCCCAGCCAATCCGTGCCTCCATTTTGATCTGTCGGTCCTCATTCCTCTCCCCTCGGTGTCTTCCGTTATCGTCGCTGAGGCATCGGTGAGGTAATACTGAAGATCCCCCGGTTGAGTGACCGTTGCGTCTGGGGCCTTCGGGGGTCTGGGCGTCGCTGAGTCATTCGTCCGTGTCGTCATCGCCTGAACTCTGTTTCTGCCTGGGGATTCAGGCCAGAACAAGGTATTTCACAGATGGTGGGGGAAACGCGCATCCATGTGATTTTATGGACCGGAATAAACAAATAGAAATAATCTCAGATCTCAAGGGTCTGTTGAGTCCCCTCCCATGACTGTTTGGGGACTCGGTTTATCGCGGTGCTACCCGTGGACCCTGCGGACAACCAGAATATACATCCGTCAACCTGGTTTAAAATTCAAAACACCCGAGCACATGGGAGGCGTTGTCATCGCAATTCACTTCAAAATATACTTGAAAATGCAGTCGAAATCTCAAATAATAAGTAATTTCATTTCTTCAATTCGATATCTTGAATCAATTCCGGGTTCACCTCTAGTAGAGCTTCAGCAGTCTCTAGGACTAGCACATCCCATATAACCAAGGTCATTTTACTCATTAAAGCAGGACGGGATCACTACTGCACAATCTATTCTGCAATCGAGTGTTCAAGCCATCGATCAGAAATAGTACCGTTCTGACTACTTCATGATTACGTCCCCGGCCGTGTCTACGGCTGTCTGCCTTGTTGCCTCAGATAACTCGATTGTGTCAGCATGTCATTAGCTCAAAGTTCTTGAAGGCCACAATCTACGTTACTCACATTCAACTGAAACCGGCCTCAATTGAAATGGACATTTTACACCAATTGGAGAGTGTAGGAATGTCGACAGGTAAAACACGCCCTTCGTGTGACAACGCTTGGCTGCTGTTCCTCCCAACAAGCCTACTCCATTTGCTGGACAAAAAGTGCACAGATAATGAAACGATAAAAAGCGCCCGACCCAGACTTTTCTTTTGCACTTGGACCAAAGGGGAAACGACGAGGTTATTTAGCGGCTATGTCACGGCATCCCCGCCTCCACAGACTTCCTTAAGTGGGTTAAGAATTTAACGTAACTAATAG